TTTTTCTTGAGTCTGGTCTGCCGTGCGCAGTTTAGATCAGTCGTTGTTTCACTGCGGAGCCCTTTCCAACACACAACAGACCTGGAGAAAAACCACTCAAAGATTCACAATGACTCAGTGGAAGGTAGAAGAACCGAGCTTAAAGATCAAGCTAACATGCAGAAGGTCTTCACACTCTGTTTTGTTCAAACTTTTTTTCTGAAGACGAGTTCAAGAAGAAACCGTGTTTCTTTTCTCTTTTTTTGTTTGTTTTGTTCAACACTTCATCTTTTGAAAAGAGGAAATTAAAAATGGCTTCATAGCTACATCATTCTTGCACTTGTATTGCAGCAACCTTTGGTAAATCAATCGACAAAAAAACGACAACAGAAAAACCCTGAAACATACGAGTCCTCACGTGTTCCCGTCTCAACTTTGCATTGTTACATTTTCTCCCGTCCGTCGCCTCCTCGCTTGTCACGTTCACGTCTCCACTTCCTCTGACGCCACTTTGGATCCACAACAAATCCTTCGCACAGACTTTTCTTCTTTCCGAAAAAGACCAAGGTCAAGACAAACCGTCAAGGCAGAGAGAAAACAAGAGAAACAAACCGACAGGAAACAGAAAAACGAAAACATCATCATCGAGTCCGAGGCGCCGACGAAGAAGGAAGATGCCTAAGAAATGGCCGCCGCCATTTAAACACTGGGGGTTTCACCGCTTCATCATTTTCGAGACGAAGCTGACGATGGCGGAGGCGGGTTGATCCGGGTCCAGCTCCGCGAACAGGTGGCTCACGTTGTCTGTTGTGCTTCCTTGTTTCCTCGCCACGAATCCAAAGAGTCTGGAATTTAAAAACCTCCGTTTAATATTTTTGACAGATTTTCTAGAAGCATCGTGGTTCAAATACGTTTTTAACTTCACTGACCTGACTGAGCCGCCTCCTTCTTTTCCCCATCTGTGCACAGGAAACAAAATGAACGGTTTTTATTCTGACGCCATCAAATCTTTCATGTTATCACGCTGAAGGGGTGAAGGTTCTTACTTCCTGTCCTGCGGGTCCGTGTCACAGTAAGTCACTGTGTTGATGGGATAATGTCGCCTGAAGAAGATTCTGAAAGAAAGAAAAACAAGTTATTGTAGGAAGTGATGATGGATACATCGGTTTTATTTGTTCACTGTACTCACTTCCTCTGACTGTCCGTGAGTGTGATGCCCTGTGGAGACACCTTGAAGTGGACGGTGGTGGCGGCGGGCAGTGGGTTGGTCTCCAGGGTCTGACTGATCGCCTTGGCGATGGCCTGAGGCCCCGTGAGAGACTCCATGTCCACGGAGTTGATGTAGAGGACGTTACACGCTGGAGGTGAGAGAGAGGGGGGGGGTTAAATAAAACAGGTGAGAGGAGGGAGAGAGAGAGAGAGAGATGGAGCAACACTATACAACTTTTACTGAGCAACAGCGCCCCCTGCAGCCACACATGGAGATTAACTTTAAATAACTTTAAACTTGAATAACTTCATGAATTCATTCAGTTTTCTGCTGTTTTCAGGTGAAACAGTTGCATCATGTTGCTTCGAGATCAAATGTGAGTGTTTTGTGAGACACACACACACACACACACACACACACACACAGTCAAAGTGCATGAGCAGAGTAAACCAGTATTTACCATGAGCCTCTTCAGGAACCTTCTGAACTGTAAAGTAAAGGTGAGGACATGTGAACGGATGAACACCAACACTGAATGTCTCCTGATGAGGGAATTTAAAAAGTGGTTTTCATTCTCACCCGCTCCCTGTTTGATAAGTTCAACCACTGGATCGGTCGGTGTCGCCAGTTCCAACGCCTCCTCGTTGGGATCTGAGAGCGAAGAGAAACACACTGAACCACCTCCCCTTCCTGAATCCACATCATCTCAAACAAGTAAAGACACAGACAAAGATGGACGACTTGTCCCCGCTTCCCTCCACGAATTTAAAGAGAGACAAGAGACGGAGGACGCACCTTTGGTGGGGATCATCAGTTTGCAGGGCAGAGCCAGCGGAGTCATGGAGTGTTGGTAAACCAGAGCGGAGAGACAACCGAAGTACGGCTCGTTGGGACAGCCCTTCAGACGCACGCCTTTAGGGCTCGTCTCGATCAGGAAGTGTCTCACCAGCTCGGTGGTCAAGTCCCCAACTGGAAAATAAATGATAACACGTCAGGTATTTCATATTCAGCTGTGAGGAAGCTCCATGATGCTACAGAGCGTTTCATTCTCACCTTTCTTGGTTTGTTGGACAGTCGGAGGCGGGCAGGCCACCTTCATGGCCAGACCGTACGCCCCGCGGAACGAGTGACTGTCCCGGATGATGAAGGCCCCGGGCTCCCTGTCCTTCAGCAGATTGATGGCTGAAAGACGGAGAGAGGAGGACGAGGGTGAGAGAGGAAGAGGAAACTGAAATAAGGGGACGGCAGTGAGACTCTCACCTTGCTCTCTGGAGATGTCGGGCTTGTACCAGAACCTGGACGTGTCCTGGACGAACTTCACGTTCATCTTGATGTCGGGACAATCGTCTGTTGGGATGAGGAGAGACGTGATTACTGCAGGGGACACATTCTGAAACTCAAGTAGAGTCAGCGTGACCTTTGACCTCTGGAGGTGCGTGGTGTTGATAGAGTCTCACCGTATATAGACTTGGGGAGGTCTGGGAGTGTGTGAGTGCCGGTCAGATTTGGCGTGCTGCCCCCGCTGGCCGGTGTTGGCATCCGGTTATTGTTGTCCATCCTCTCGGCATCTCCGCTGGACATGTGTCTCTTCTCCGGCAGCTGCGGGGACACAGGGAAGGCAGGCGTGGACGGCGGTTGGGCGCTCCCCTGGCGAGAGGCGGCCCCCAGCTCATCCGGTGTGCTGTGGCCTGCCGTGCGGCGCCCCATCAGGGGGCTGGGAGGCACGCCGGCGGCTGCTGTCTTTCGGCCAATCAGAGGGCTGGAGGGGACGCCGGACGGAGGGGGGTGTCTGGCCAGGGAGGGGCTGGCTTGACCCAGGCGTCTCTGGAGGGCGGGGCTGGGCGGCGTGTTGGTGGCCACGGTGCGGTGGAGGGTGTTGGGGCTGCCGGGGACGGTGTGGACGCCCATGATGTTCACCTGGGAGCCCTCGGGGGAGGCGGGTCTGTGGGGGTGGGAGTGGGCGGGGCTGTCTGACGGACCAAACCTCCTCCTGCAGAAAACAACAACAATGGATGGAAATGAAATCTGTTTCCTGTTTTTAACAGTTTCATCTGAAACATGACGAAGGAGGCAGCTCCTGGTTTGTTGTTGTTATTCATCTTTAAAGAAGAAGAAGAGTAAAGCGACACTTCCTGTTGGAAACCTGGAGACTCACCCGTCAGCACTGTGGACCGGGCTGCTGGAGCAGAAGGGAGCGTTGAACTGTCTCGAATCCTCAAAACTGCGATTATCTGAACAACACAACAACAAACACACACACGTGGTCAGACCGTGCACGGCGTTTCTTTTCTCCAGCAGCTGACGGGTGCAGGCGTCGGGCGTCGGAGCGACGCAAATAGAAAATGGTGCATTCGAAATGCAACAAAAGGAGAAAAATGTTTGGTTGCAGTGACACACAAACGTTCAGGGGAAATAAA